GATACTGGTGCCATAAGGTAAAATCTGCAAAGGGAAGAAGCATAGGATGGGTAGAACTGACACAGACTTGGACACATCACATTGGAAATAACTGGTCAGATACGTGGGATGTCCAACTGGCGACTGGATATACGATTCCAGAGTTCAGCAGAGACATCTATGGTGAAGGGAGAAGATATGGAGAGTAACAGAATCTCAGTGTTGCCTGACACAGAGTAAATGAAATGGCTTGAAGAGTACCTAAGAAACTGAAGAAGAAAAAGAGCAAGTACAGAATTTGAGGAAATGCTAATATTTACTCATAGAGAAGAGATGCACACCACAAAGAGTAAGAATGAATTTTGAGTTTATTCTATGAATAAAGGAAAGCTCCATATTAAAAATTCTAATTCATCTCATTCCTAATTCTGCAAAGAAAAATTCTTTGATTATCCACAAAGACATTAAGAACATATGTACTTTAAAAAATATCATCTGGGTTTCCACGTCCACATGTAAGAGGCTTGGAAGTCTTTGCTCCATTTTAACAAGATATAGAAAGCTAAAGAGACTAAACAACAATTCTTCTTGGATCCAACAGTGAGAACAAGACACAGAGGAAACTGCTACCCACAAGACTGGAGAGACGGAGAGGCAAGTATAGGGAGTCACGGCTCACAGGGGCAGAGACTCACTTGAAGAAACCGCTGTGGGACCCAGTGCCTGAGTAGGAAATGTTGAACAGTGATTGACTGATTGCTGCAGGCTCAGTGTGGCCCTCTCCCAGAGTTAAAAACTCCGCTTGGACACAGTCACCACACACATTGGATAGACACATAGTTCCCAAGGCATAAAAGCTCAATGCTGAGTAACACGCCCTTCAGGTTTTGCTGAGAATGACCTTTCCAATGTAACAAACACAGTCAACGTGTTGTCTGTGAGCACTAACAGCTCCTCCCCCTACATTGGCACTGGATGATGATGTTACAACAAATAAAAATAATAAACAAACAAAAGTAGCAGGGGTGGCCACCAGATGACAGTAGACCTGGGAGAGAGAGGGAGGAGTCCATAAAAAAAATCCACTTTGGTGCTTGGGACACTGGCTGGATGGCAGTGATACCACATGTGAGGGAAGAGAGGAGCATGTGCTTTCCATTTTGGATTTGTTGAGCCGGACAGGCCATTCAGATAACTACAAACAAGCATTCAACGGGGAGCTGAACCTATGGTCAGAAGGCTGGGAAAGGGGCACCAGCCAGAGAGAAAGAGAAGCGTGAACCACAGAGGGCCAGATGTGTCGAGGAGAACTGCAGAGTGAGAGGACGGCGTCCAGGCTGGAGGACTTGGATGATAAATGTTAAGGAGAAGAAAAGTAGAATTTGGGGAATCAGAGAAGAATTTATCAGTGAAGCCATGACAGAAATAAGAAAAGAATTTCCAGAAGGTCATGGACAGTATAACAAGTATGGCAGAAGACTCAGTAAGGCACAGAGAGTAGGCATTGGATTTAACCGTAACTCAGGTTTCTGGTGAGCATCTGAAGAACTGAACTAAGACTACCCTAAGTGGGCTAAAATGTAAATTAGCACTGGAAATATTTACCAGAAAATATAACTCTGCACATGCTGCTGCAAACCCGCACATATACACACAACCTGAGAGAAATACATGAGGGTTTACTTAAGGACATGTCGGCAACTCAGTCATTTAGATAGGCCAGCTTTTTCTATGACATCAAGTACAGTCTTTCAAAAGCCATCTGGGACCACACTATTTTAGTAAATGATAGTATCTTAATACGTGAGTTTTGTTTTAGCACTAGGTAACTGTTTCCACTACTGAATGCTTGAAACGTTTATTTCTAAATTTGCAGTAAAAAATTTCCCACTACACCATCTATGTGACCAACGAACGAAGCTTCAGACTTGGTGTCAGCACCCTTCAGATCCTATGAGAATTTAGCATGCTCTCTGCTCACATTCTATTCAACTGATGTAACATGTCTGCCTTTTTGTCATAAAATCAAAAAGATCACTGACAAATTGGCAGTCAACTTAGATGACTCTATAATCTTATAACCTGGCTATATGAACATCCAACTTCATCTTATTTATAGACATTTCTCTGAAGCTAAGTTTTACTAATTTCTACTTTTCCACTTTAATTCATGGACCCCATGAAGCTCATAAAATACAATGTAAAACAAAATGAGGAATAAAAAACCACACAACTCACCAATGATTTATTCATTTTTTGTTGTTCTTGGAAACGCATTATGGATTCCAGAAGCATCCCTCAGAGAAAAGGCGAATGGAGTAGAGTCATGAGAAACTGGTGTGGTTTGGTCCTAGATTCTCTGGCTCAAAACACTCTACACTTTAGGGGGATAAGATCAAAGATTAGAAAGCCTCCCGTCAGAGAACGGTCCTCTAGACAGGAAAAGGCAAAAAAGACCCCACTGAAGATGTACCATCCACCACTACATCAATTGGTGAAGATTTTAGACATTTATTTTATTATTGGACTAAGGAACACAAACATTATCAAGTGATTTAGCAACAATTAATGTTCCTGAAAGAAATATATGGTAATTTACATCAGAGGGTGAAACATTGTATCTTCATTAAAATTAATGTTATAGAAATACATTTGGGCTATATGAGGTATTCTCCTATACAGGAATACCACACAGGACGCTGTATGGTATTAGAACTAGAACATCTCTTGCATTTTTCTTTTGTAATTGAGACAGGGTCTCACTCTGTTGCCCAGGCTAGAGTGTAGTGGGTAGATCATAACTCAATGCAGCTTTGAACTCCTGGGCTCAAGCAGATCCTCCCACTTCAACCTCCAGAGTAGTTGGGGTTACAGGTATAAGCCACCACACCTGGCCCCTTCCTTTTATATTCCTAAATTTCACAGAAAGTAAGCATGTCACAACCTAACATGTTTCACCCATGATTACACAGGAAAAATGTATATGATATGCATTTCTTGTGATACACTGTCCCAGTAATGGCTCCAAATGACAAAATTCCATATATCCACACCCTCTATGGTCCCTGCTGACAATATCCTGGGCTTTGCCATTTGAATTGCTATGGCCAAGAGGACATGAATAAAGGTGATACAAACAGAGCTAGGCTGCGTGTCAGCAGAAACCACCACACACCTAAGTGAAGCCATCCTAAACCAACCACCCTCAGTCAAAAAGCCAGGTGAGTAAAGCCTCATTTGTGATCCCAAACATTATCACATAGGAGCTTCCCAAATGAGGTCAGCCCAAATGTTGACATACAGAAATAGGATCAAATTAAGTGGTTCTTTTTTTAAGCCTATAAATTTTTGTGTATTCATTGCAAAGGAAAGGATATGATACATCTAAGTCCTGAAACACGTAAGGGAGTGGGAGAAACAATCTTCAATTACATGCCAATACAGTAACTAAAACTTCAAAACCACATGTAGAAGTTTTGCCCAAACCAATATATGTCAAGTGTATGGACTTCAGCATGGTTGAAGCCATGTGAATCAAACAAAAAATTTATCTAAAAATTCCAAACCTACGTTTAAAGTTTCTTACAGTATAACGTTATTGTTACTTACATGGAGACATTTTTCTGTGTTTTAGTTCCATTTTATTGGCCTGCACAACTGTGCTTCAGTCTAATTTTCTCATTTCAAATACACTCCTTGCATTCCTGCAGAATTTATGAATTTTAGAAACAGATTACTGACATTAAATGGAAAACAGAAGTGTTATCGTAATTGGCACGTTTAAGATGAGGTATTTTAAGGCAATATTGGTTCTAAATTGGCTTCAGTGTCGCAAAAGTAATCTCAGAAATAAACATTTCTTTTGAGTCAATGGTGCAAAAATGTATAACATTAGCCAAAACCACAAGATGTCTCACATGTACATAGCATGTGATTCTGGGAAAGTCACTTATCTTTTCAAACTCAATTTTTTCAGCCTTTTTTTAAACAAGCAGATATACTTAGCAAACCCTTCCTGAACTTCCAGAAAGAATGATCAGGATAGACAGACCATCACCTTATCTCTAGATGGCAAATAGGTCTGGGAGAGCTCAGACTCTGAAAACAATCAATGAGGGGAGATTAAAGAAACCTGAGCATCTTCAGAGTAATGTAGAGAAATTCTTTCAGGTACGTATGCTAGGGTAGGCCTCCACCTCAGACCACAAAGCACTAACCTGTAACATTTCCTAGGCACCTGCCTATCTTTCCAAGTTACCAAAGTTACCCCTGCTTTCCAAGTTATCCAAACCTTCCAATAGCACCAGTAGTTTCTAGCTTCCTGAGAAAGTAGCATCATCCAATCTTGTTCACTCTGGGCAGTAGGATCATTAATTGCTTGGGTGATAAAAGCTAGGATCCCTCCTTTCCTGAGACGCTTTTGCCTCTGCCCTGAGGAGCTAGTTAGTGAGTTTAGGTCAGAGGGGTTTTCTTTCAGGGGAAATTTTAATTCACAGGATGTTCACTTTCAAACTCTGTTAACACACTTTATTTCCCAAAAAAACCAGAACCACCATCCAGGATCCAAATTTCCCTTGGAGAGCTCACTGTCCCTGGAAAGTGGGTGTTGAATAAACTTCTGCAAACTGAAACCAGGAGTGCTGGGCAGGCTGCACAGTGTGGCAGGAGACCAGAAAGTCACCTGCTGAAGAGACACAAAGAAACCCCCCAAACAGGAAGACTGCCACACAGGAAGACTCAGTCTGCACACACTTCACAATTACTCATCTGAGAACGTAGGGGCATTTCACCGGTACTGCTAATACCTTCACCTGACAGGTGAGTAATCAGAGCGTCAGGCAGGTTAGTAACAGGGTCCTCCAGGGGCGGAGCCGGACCTTGAACTCCCCGCCGCCTGCGGGCCCCGCCCCTGTGCCCCCGCCGCCATCTCGGACGCGACCACCCCCTCGCGGAGCTTCGGGAACCAGCTCTTGCACCCTGGGAGCCCACCCCCTCCCTCGGGCAGCGCCGTCTTCCGACAGAGCGACCGTGGACCGCACAGCCCGAGTCGCCCCTTTCGAGGTCCGCGGCTCGCACCTGCACGCCAGGCCCCGCCCGCCTCGGATCCACCCGCGTTTCTGCTCCCACCAAGTAGGGACACCTGCCCGCCCACCAGGGTCCCCATTCACTGTTGCACCAACCTGTAAGGTCGCAGAATCCAAACCCTGGTCTGCAGAGCCACGGAGAGCGCGGGAGCCAGAAGTTCCCAGAGGACGATGGCGGAGGTGGGCGGAGTTGCACATGCGCAGAAGGAACGCCGAAAAGTTCTTCCCGCGGAACTGTGCTGGTGTCGTCAACGCGGTGTGAGACTACATTCCCCACAAGGCCCTGCGGTATTCCGCTGGGAACCAACGGAGGAAGTTTTGTTTACTTCCGGGGAGTCCGTCTGGCTGCCTATGGATCGGGACCTGAGGGATTAGGACTACTCTCTAGACACGTGACAACGACGTGGACTTCAGCTCCTCTGATAAATCCTGGATTGACAACCTGAGACACTGTGGACCACGGGAAGTTAGAATGTGAACAAAATAGTCTAGCATATTGATAAGCAGGTTTAATTTTTTTTACTTCGGTTAAAAGTATTGCGTTTTTACGAGCCACGACTGTATTTTACAGTTGAGATTATAGAGCTTGAAACATCCTGTTTCTGTTATACTTTAAGCTTGTTAACAAACAAGGTAATAATAAGGTAACAGTCTTAGATTCTGTAAAAAAGATATTTGTTCTCTTCCACTAAATTAATTTGTGCATCTTCAATGGATTGTATTATTGAATTGGAAAAACTGCTCTAATGTATGTAGTGAGGTAAAATACGAGGGTCCACAATCCTTTGCCCGAGTACACATCCAGTGTCTCATAATTATTTTCCCCAAAACTCCCACGTTCCGTCAACTCATCCGTCTGTTTATGAAGTCTTTAATGCTTTTATTTATTTTTACATATGTGAGATAGACCTTAATTTTGCTTCTCTTTCCCTAGTGTCTGCCACAAACTAGGAAAAGAATTTCTTGCAGGAGTCTTTCAGAGTTCCAACTACCAGTGCTGTTCCTCTCGAAACAAATTCCTGGCTTGAGTCGTCTGGGTTATTATGGTTTTCAGTGTGGTAGGGTTTGGGGTAAAAGGGGGCTGAAGTTTGGGCAAGGGTGGATGAGGGTGTGAGAGGTTTGACTCTTGCCCAAGACCTATCCTTGCTTTTTCTTTTCCTAACATATGCCCAATCACCCAAGTAAAACTTTTCCAGGACTCTTCTGTCTCAAGTCAACTTGCATCTGGTGTCAACTCCTACCACTTTTGTTTGTTTGTTTATATAATAATATCAGCATGCATTGCCAATGCAGGGGGAGGAGCTGTTGATACTCATAAACCCACGTAGTAACTTTGTTTGGTACATTGGAAATGTCATTCCTGGCAAGACTTGAAGGGCATATGTACTGATTGACTAGTTTCAATCCCTTGAGAAGTGTTGATCTATCCAACATATGTGTTGACATCCCTCAATGTCCACAGGGAGAAAGCATTCAGGAGTTAGTAGGACACAATTGAACAGAGGTCAATAAAAAGATATGCAAAGAATAAAAATAAGTTTTTTATAATTAGTACCTTTTATTTATACAAATTTACATCAGTGATCTTATCTATAGCTTTTGTTAATATACAATTGTATATTTGTAGTCCAAAAAAATTTGTCATGCTTTCAAATGCTTTTAAAGACTGTATTTAATTTTTCTGATCTTTCAGCTAATTGTTTACTATTGAGTAAGGAAAAACAGATGTATGCATCAGTCTCTTTATGGACTAGAACTGTAGTTAATACTATAGTTGGTTAAGAACGAAAAGTGACCATATAATTAACTGATCATTTTATTTATTTGTTTATTTTTGAGACAGGGTCTCTGTTGCCTAGGCTAGAGTGCAGTGACATGATCATAGGTCTCTGCAACCTCAGATTTGTGGGCTGAAGCAATCTTTCTGCCTCAGCCTTCCAGGTAACTGGGACTATAGGCATGTACCACCATGCATGGCTCATTTTTCATTTTTCATTTTTTTGTAGAGACAGGGTCTTGCTCTTCTTCAAGCTGGTCTCAAACTCCTGGTGTTGCGGCTCGATTGCAGAACGGGGGATGGACACAGAAAGAAACACACAGACACACATAAAGACGTACAAGACTGCAGTGCCCGATTGCACCAGTCATTTTATTTTTATACTTTTCTCTGTCCGGCAGCTACTTCCTGGTACGTAACTACCTTGGGCGCCTTGAGGAAAACACATTTTCATTCCTTCCAGATGATTGCTCAAGGGAAGCGGATGTTTGCATCTCAACTTCTTGACCTCATCACCGTGTGCAGGACAATGAGACGCCTTGGGTTGTTTGCAAGACCCCAGGCCCTTGGCTATCTGCCATAAAGCTGTTTGTCATGAGGAATAGTTCTGTTTGTTCAACAGGCCGTGTCCAGACCTATTCACCTCTGGCACCAAGGAGAGCACACCCAGTTTCGCTGACTCTGGGCTTAAGCCAATTTTTGCCCAGGGACGGTCCCTACACCTGGCCTCAAGGGATCCTCCCCCCTCGGCTTCCCAGAGTGCTAGGGTTACAGGTGTGACCCACCATGCCCAGCCTAAAATTTTTTTAATGTGAGAAATTATGAAACTATAAACCCCAGAACACTTGTGATACCAGATATGTTGGGTTTTCCTTCCCAAGCAGCTTTCTAGCTCTCTGTGGACACTGTGTGTCCTACAATTCAATTCGGTTGTAACACTAATTTCCCAGAGTTAGCACGAAGCCTGTAGGTTAAGGGCTATTTCCCCAAGAGTGGCGTTTCACTTCAGATGCAAGTTGGTAGTGGGTCACCAGTCAATCTACACTTTTATCCAACTTTAGTATAAATTGTGGGTACTCATGCCCCCTTCCCATGTTAAATAATTTGCTGGAACAGATCACTGACTGGTTTATTATACAGTATACAACAACCCCGCTGGCACCTATATTCCTCAACCCAAAAGTTCCCTGAACCCCATCTTTAGAAAAGTTTCATTACATATGTATCGTTAAGTCATTGTCCACTGGTGATGGAGCTCCATCTTCAGCCCTACAGAAGGTAGCCACTAAGGTTTCCAGCCTTCCTTTACATCTCGTCAGGGTCCAAAGCAGAATGATCTCAGCACCATATGTCTTCACCCTCCCTGGCATCTGGTATAATTGTGCTAAAAGGAAATATTATCTCTTCTTCTAAGGTTTTCCTCGTTACCTAACCTATTTATTAGGTCAAATATTTACATAGAGAATTTCTTCATAATTAGTTCCTTTAAGACTGTGTTGATCTTATCCTGGCCCAGGATTCTTTACACGGACATGTTGTTATGTAGAGTTCCATTAATGTATGTCGTGTTCTTTATGTCCTTGGGACTGAATATAAAAGCTAAACATCTCTTATTCTTCAGTGTAGTGCAACCTTATTGAAAATAGAACTGTATTTTGTCCTTCTTTCTTATTGTGGTCTACATTGAATTTGTGTCTAAAGTTGTTTACTAACTATTCCAACTTGAAGATCACCTCGGGTTTCATAATGAAATATCCTGTTAATAGGAAAAAATCTATTATTATTCCAGTTGTATATTTATACTTAAGACTTAATACCACAAGTTCCTCAGAGGAGAATTTTATTTATAGTTTTATCCCTACCAAAAAATATGATTCAATGCCTATAAGGTAAACTTTGTAATAGTATTTGTAGCATGGGGGACCACTGAACTCAGGGGCTAGAGGTGCCAATCACCAATGTAGTTGAAAATTTACCTATAACTTTTGACTGATCAAAATGTTAACTACTAATAGCCTACAGTTGACTGGAAGCCTTACTTATAAAGTAGTCAGTTAACGGGTACTTTTTATGTTATATGTATTATATACTATATTCTTATAAGAAAATGAGCTAGAGGAATGAAAATGTTATTTAAAAATTACAAGGAAGAGAATATTTATTGACTATTTCATTTTTTTTAAAGATTTACAGACTGGAATTTACTATTTCTTAATTGGAGCTGTGACATTACTGTCCCTGTGTTGGCAAAGGCAGAAGAAAATCTGTGTATAAATGGACTCAGTTCAAATCTGTTGTTTGAGTCAACTGTAATTAATAAATCATTACACAGAAAGGATATTTATACTGTGATTTTTTTTCTCGTAACAGACTACACATTGCATCTTATATAAGGTACACATCAGACAGAGAAAAGAGATCTTTCTAATTCCTGTTCATGTGACCCAGGGATGATGACTTGAATCGAGCAGAAATGTGCCATTACAGGGGCTGGTGTTGTTTGAGGACGTGGCTCTGGCCTTCACCTGGGAGGAGCAGCAGGACCCGGATGATGCTCAGAGGATCCTGTACAGGTTTGTGATGCTGGAGACCTGCAGCAGCCTGGTGTCCTTGGGTAAGTGAGACTCCCCAGTAACTCCCACGATCAACAATTTCTTCTCTGTTAGTAAATATAGGAATTTTTATGGTTTCATGGTATTTAGGTGGATGATTCGACTCCGTAAAGAATGTAAGCATCACCTTTCTCTAATGAAATGTTTATGTTGGCCCCTTCATTGTGGAGCTTTGAGACCAAGTTGTTGTCATTCTTCAAAAGGCATGACTTAGCAGTGTAGCAAAGTCCTAGATTCTTTTCTATTAACAGGATATTTCATTGTGAAACCTGAGGTGATCTTCAAGTTGGAGCAAGGAACAGATCCATGGATGGTAGAAGAGGCTCCCAGCTTAGTCAGTACATAGGGATAGGGAGGCCCAGAAAAGTAGAGCCCAGCTGATGTGGCCATTGTTGACCTGTTTTGACCAATTTTTTCCCATACCCTGGAACTGATTACAGCTGGTCTACAGGGATCAAACTATATGCATTATATCATCTACGAGGAGGGCTCTTATGTGTATATCTTCACCCTTAATTTTGCTGAATATGTTCTCACCCAAAATCTAATGCCTACCTTCCTCTTCTAGGATATTTTTCTTGGTTGTTTACTTTCTCAGTATTCTCAGTTGCCCTCTTTTCCTGCTATCTTCTGGACTGTGTTTTTTTCAGACCTTTATTCACACATTCATTTATTCTTCTAGCACATCTTAATTGATAAATTTTAAGCACTGACAATTTTGAACTTGTACTAACAGCAATGATTAAAATAATTTCCCTTTTACATAGAGTTTACATTCTGATGAGAGAAAAAAAGAACATCATCTAAAGTAGTTGGATAAGAATTATAAAGAATATTTAACAAGAGTGACTTCGATAGAGAAAAATGGGATATGATAAATAGGATGGTCAGAAAAAGTGGTTTGATGGGGAATACTAAGTACTTGCTTTGGATAGCTTTAATTTTGAGTAACTCTTTTCCAATTTTGGCATATAATACATAGGTGAATATAAAATGTAGATTTGAGTCTTGACATGTATATCACAAATTGATAGCTTAATGCTGATTTTTGAGGTTTTATTCATAAAGGAGATCACTTAGAGAATTCATAAGAAAATGAGAAAAGAACTCCAGAAGTGAGCTTTGTGTACCACATGAGAAGTCGTGAAAGGTAAAAGGACCCAGCCTACGAACATGGAAAGGAGTGGTCATGGACTTGAGGAGAGGGAGGAGATTCTCAGTTTCAAGACCAAGGAAACTAAGGATTTAGGATGAAGGGCTCAGATTTCCATCTGGGCATAGGAAATTTAGCATTTTCCTCTTCTCTTTGTGGAAATTATTGTAAAATGACAGAATGAGAAATATATAGGAGACTTTGTTTTCTATGAAAATAGGAGATAGCTCAACTTCCAATGTACAAAATAAGAGCCTTTAGGAACAGTAATTTACCAGGAATTGGAGGGAAGAATACCAGAGTACTGATTTGAGAAGCAGCCCAAAATAAACATTCCAGAGATAATGGGCACAACCTGCATTGTCAAAGGAAATCCTTTAGAGCGGCAAGGAGGGTTGGCCAGTGTGGTCGGCCAGAGCTTCCTGTTCCTCTTATGGTTCTCTGAAGCAGGGAAGTCAGATTAAATTAGGAATTTACATGAAGCTTTCTTCATTTAGCCTGTGGATGAAGAGAGTTTGTATTTAAAAACCGCCCAGATACCTATAGTTATTTTCTAGGGAAGAGTTAACTAAACAAATATTTATGCAAATCCAGTCCCCAAGTTTTATACCTGCTTAGGTCACAGACAAATGGCCCTCTCTCTTACACCCGCAAATAGTTAATCCAGAAAAAACTTGCTATCTTCGAAGCTGAATAATGAGAAAAATACCAGCATGAGATACCCACCATTGTTCTAAGAATAAAATAAAGGAAAAGAATAGAAAATACAAATGGCAGCTGACAGCACTTAGATCCAAACTACAGCCAGGCAGTAGGTGAATATTTTTACTAAATATTTCTACATGAATTAACAAGGAAAAAGGTTGAAGCAATGGAAAGCACTATTTAACATAAGACACTAATGTGATTTATTATGTTAAGTCTATAGGAAAAAACATCATAGTTCAAAACCAAGACTGATTTTTATGAAATCTTATGCCACTAAGATAGGGCAAAGCTTAACTTTGCGTGAACATTGCATAAGAAAAGCTTACATGTGGTTCATGAATATGTTTATTTTTTTCTCATTTCAGATGCCCAGACAGTTGACAACCTGATGGAGAAGAGCCATGAAAGTCACAGTAGACCTCGTGGCAAGTTGTAATCACCAACAGCAACACATTAACTAAGGAGAGAGTTGAATTAGGAAAAATGTGTCACTTGAGCTCAAATCATGTACCCAAACCAATTATAAATAATGGAAACTATTCAGCAGTGAGGCCTGAGAATTTCAATGTGTGTCAGAACATGCTTCTCCTTAGTGATCCTGACACGGTGAAGGCTGGAAAGAAACCAGAGAGCTTATGATATAACTGGGGAATCCCTCAGAGGTCATGAGGATCTTAGCACAAGGTTGAAAATGGGCAGGAACATTTTGAGTAGAACGGACAAGGGAAAGCCTTGAGCACAGAGCAGCATTACTAACACGTGAGAGTGTGTATGGGACAGGCCGCCTGCGGATGGAACGCGTGCGGAAACGCCTGTGGTAAGTCGGCTCACTCAGCTCACACTGCTCAACACACAGGTAGGGAGGAAAGCTTTCGAATGTCATGTATGCGGGAAAACTTTCTCTAGAAGTCTAACCTCATTAGACATCAAAAAATACAAGAGAGAAACTTTATAAATGTAGTGAATATCAGAAAAACTTTGACATCACTTATGGATGGAGTTATTCAGGGGGTTATCTTGGTTCAGCTTTTTATAATTCCCTAAAAATAATCATTTCTCTAACAATAATTTTGTGCTTAAATTTGACCCACCTCTGTCCAGGGACATACTAGAAGGTTTCTTTAGCCGGGCGCAGTGGCTCAGGCCTGTAATCCCAGCACTCTGGGAGGCTGAGGCGGGAGGATCGTTTGAGCTCAGGAGTTCCAGACCAGGCTGAGCAAGAGCGAGACCCCGCCTCTACTAAAAATAGAAAAAATTAGCCGGGCATGGTGGCACACGCCTGTAGTCCCAGCTACTCGGGAGGCCAGGGCAGGAGGGTCCGCTTGAGCCCAGGAGTTGGAGGTTGCTGTGGGCTATGATGACGCCGCAGCACTCCAGCCTGGACAACACAGCGAGACCCTGTCTCAAGGAAATAGAAGGGTTCTGTGACACATCTGAAAGTTCCCTTAAAGGAGGAGACACAGAAATGACAGTTCTGCAAAAGAATATTGATCTTTGTTGTCATGGTCCCTCATTATGCATGGCATCCTGTGTTGAGAATGAGAGGACAAGGCTGATTCTGCAGAGACAGTGTGAATAATGATGTAAAGGGTGACTGAAATAGCGTAACCAGAACCTGCTCTGTTTGGGACATTTATGCAGAGGATTGTATTTTGTACAGCTTGTCAAATAAGCTCTAGTTGATCTTTTATATTGTTTTTCTAGTCTCCATTTCATTGATTTCTGTTCTATCTGTCATTTCCTTCTGCTAAGTTTATTTTTTTTTAGTTACTCCAGGTATAAAGTTAGGTTAAGATTTTTTTTTTTTTTTTTTGAGACAGAGTCTCGCTCTGTTGCCTGGGCTAGAGTGAGTGCCGTGGCGTCAGCCTAGCTCACAGCAACCTCAAACTCCTGGGCTCAAGCGATCCTTCTGCCTTCCCAGCCTCCTGAGTAGCTGGGACTTCCCAGCGATCCTTCCCAGCCTCCCGAGTAGCTGGGACTGCAGGCATGCGCCACCACGCCCGGCTAATTTTTTTTATATATATATATTTTTAGTTGTCCAGATCATTTCTTTCTATTTTTTAGTAGAGACGGGGATCTCGCTCTTGCTCAGGCTGGTCTGGAACTCCTGACCTTGAGCGATCCACCTGCCTCGGCCTCCCAGAGTGCTAGGATTACAGGCGTGAGCCACCACACCCAGCCCTTAAGATTTTTTTGATGTAGGTTTTTAATGCTATTAACTTTTCTCTGTAGCTGCTTTTGCTGCATTCTATCCATGTTATGTGCTGCATTTTTGTTTTAATTTTTAAATTTCCCTTTTATTCTTTTAATTCAGTACAGGAATTTCCATGTATTTGTGCAATTTCTATAATTTTTTGTTTTTCTGGTGTTTTGTGAAATATAGAAATTGTAAACTATAATATAGCATATTTAGCTGAAAAAATTTCTGAGCAGTGTTGAAAGAATGTTTTTTCCCCTGATCACTTTTGGTAAAATATGGCAACTAGAGATGAATTGAAGGAGAAATTCTTATGCACAACAAAAACAGATCTTAAAGATTTTGAAAATTCTCAAGCTTGTTCATATTGCAAAAAAAAAAAAAAAAAAAGGAAAAAGCATATTTGGAAGAACACACCAAAGTTTTGCCCCCCCACTTTTTTTGGACTATCATTCAATAAAGAAATATTGGAATTATATCAGGAAAACATTGCCAGTTTGATCTGCAAGGGATGGATAAAAAATACAATAAATAAAAGCTGTTAGACTTCTTAGATTCTACAGGACAGGATTATAAAGCTCTTTGTATATGAATATGCACTTTACTTTAAGACAAAGGAATAATGACTCCAAAGAGGATTCAGACCATCAGGGCAACCACCTCAGTTTCAACGGATGACCTCCAAATGAAGCCACAGGAGCAGGGTTACCTAGAGCATTGGAAGCAGGAACCCTAAAGAGCAGAAACTTGAGGAATAGGTCCCCTGTTAAACATGGCCTTAGGAGTGTGAACCCTAAAGCAAAGGACCTTCAAAAAAGTGGGCCCAGCAGGTCAGACTTCCCAGGGGCCCAGCAGGGGTATGTCAGTGTCACTGGATGTCAAACAGTAATAAATTAAACCAACAGCAACAACAAAGTGGGCCCAGAATATGGGACTACTGGCACAGTGGGGCTAGAAGGGAGAACGTCAAAGTGCAAAGGAATATTCTCAAGACTTAATTATATTTATGTTGAAAGGTTTCGGACTGGCTGGTGAACCACCACCCTTTCCTTCCAATTGTTCGAAGTTTTTGTCATAGAAATATCTATCCTATGCTTGTCTCATCATCATATTTTGGAAGAATAGGACCTAACTGGTTTCATTAAGTTCAGAGCTGGGGAGGAATTTCGGCTCAGAATGAATTCTGTCAGCGCCCACGAAGGGAACATTTAGACAAACCCAGCCAGAGAGAAATCCTCTGACTGAAACCTAAGTTTTGGCTAGGCCCACCACCAGCTGCTAAAAAGTAGCCTGGGGCCTAGAACATATTTCTTAGGCAGTCAGGCCACAAAGGCTGCAGTCCTCGGGTAATTTATGTGGCTGAGCTGGCTTGGAGCTAGGAGACTTGGGGTACATGAGACCCAGTAAGACACCAGTGGCAACAACGAGGCCAATGCCTGTTTGCCCCTCCCCCAACTACAGGCAGTGCAGTTCAGGGAGAGTCTTCTTTCACTTGGGAAAAACAAAGGGAGGAGTTTAGAGAACTTTGTTTTGTAACTTGGGTACCAGCTCAGTCACAGTAAAATAAAGTACCAAGCAGACTCTTGAAGCCCCCAAATCCAAGCCTGATTTCCTGGATGGCATTTCTAGACCCAGCTTGGGCCAGAAGGAAATATGATATTCTAAAGGGAAGGACCCAGTCCTGCCAGGATTTACCACCTGCTGACTAAAGAGTAGCCAGGCAACAGGCACCACGGGCTTTGGGTGAGACTGGGCTGGATTCGGCTGTGACCTGGTGCAGTCGTCGCTGCAGTGGCCATGAGGGAATGCCAACATTGTTCCCCGCCCCCAGCTCTAGCAGCCCAGCGGAGAAAGTGAGGAAGGAAAGAGAGAGACAGAGACATTTCTAGGAATCCAGGGAATTTTCTCATATCTTACCCAATTCCACCCAGGTGGTACCACCAGAGTATGCATGTGTTCTACAGTCCACACAAGTCACATGCTCAAGGAAAAATGTAACATAAAACGTTGTAAATACTCATTCAGTGATGAGAAATGGATGTCCTTTGATTATACTCTGATATAATCTTCATTATAACCACCATAATGACAATTTGGCTATATAAAGAATCAAAATATAACCTATGGAAAAAATACTGCTCTAATATTTAACATTTAAAGCCAATTGGAATAAAACTCACTAAAGATGTTATTCCACTATGTTACCCAATTGTATACTGTTACCACCTTTTACCTACAACCTTGAATAAGGTGGGATAGGCTAATGTTGGTGCAGGATACCACTCTGTAATATGCACAACACTGTGAACACATTAAACATAATTTTATTTTATGAAAACAAATTGAGTTCACAGTCTTTTAAAAAGCATTTCAAAATCCACTGCAGAACGTTACTTAATATGCTATTGGTAAAACAACTTACTTCTGAAAGTCAAAACATTCTAACTATAATAGAGAATATTAGTCTGAACATCTACCTCTGATATTACTTACAACACTCTTACAAATCAATCACAGAGAGCATGTCCAGTTCAATTTTCTTTATGAATCTTACATTTCAGTGCCCTTAATGTCCTTGGAGAGTATACGAATGATGTCCACCTAATTTAGAGGAACTTTCATAGTTTTGATGCAGGAACAACTGCCCACATGCTTTCATGAAACTCTAAGAATGAAGGCATAGCATTGAATAATTTCAGAGTTAAATTACAACAATAATTAATTTTCAAAAGAATCTAAGAATTTTAAAAGAAAAAGGTATACTTTGAATTTAATTATAAGTTGCCATAAAATCGACCTCATGCTCCTTTTAATCATATATGTATATTAATTATCTAACTATTTTAATGTTGGGTTATTCTCTATAATTAACACTGATTTACAGTAATGTCAAAAAGTTTTAGTGTCTTAGTGCTTTCTACTGCGAATCCTAAGATATTTATTCAGACTCGATTTTTGGTTAAATATTTGTTCACATCATGGAATCTGAAAAATATCTTTAGTATCAAGTCTGGTATTTTCTTAGGTGTGTTTTTTGAAAAAATGTTTTTCTGCACTCATTCTGTTTGTAGAGTTTTGCTCCTATCCAAATTCTCTGAAAGTAATTAACCCGGGCACAATAATGTCTGTGAGAGAAGTAAAACTGTTGCACCTCTCTTTATAGTTGTAATATTTTCTCCTCAGTGTAAATATTCTGATGCATGCTAATACTTTTATTTTCAAAAAAATATACATTTTTTTATTTCAGCATATTATGGGGGTACAGATGTTTAGGTTACGTATGTTGCCTTTGCCCCCATTTCCCCCCTAGAAAAATATTTTAACTGTTGTTGCATTTATAACATTGTTACCCTGTATGACTGTCTAATGTCAAGTAATACATAAGCAGTTATTAAAGCTTTTCCCACTTTCTTTACATCTGTAGGATTTTGCTCAGGTATAAATTCTCTCCTTTGTAAGTTAGAGGACTGGGTAAAGAATTGTCAACACTCTTAACATTTGCATGGCTTCTCCATGGTATGAATTATCTTATGTTTATAAAGGTCAACACTGCTTAAAGGCTTTGGCACATTCTTTATGTGTGTTATGTTTCTCTTCAGTATGTATTATCTGCTATTTAGAAAGGAATGAGCATTGAGTAAGGGACTTGTCATTGTTCACATTTTTAGGGTTTATCTACAATATGAAGTCTCTTATGTATATTAAGAGGAGAGCAATATTTCAAAGTTTTGCCACATTCTTCACATTTGTAGGGTTTCTCTCTAGCATGAATTCTCCTATGCCTAGTGAGGGATGAGCATAACTTAAAAGCTTTGCCACATTCTTCACATTTGTAGGGTTTCTCAGTAGTATGAACTTTCTCATGTGTACGAAGGCTAGAGCTATAGTTAAACGTTTTCCCACATTCTTCACATTTGTAGGGTTTCTCGCCAGTATGAGTTCTTTTATGTTCAGAAAGCTGTGGACAACTGTTAAAGCCTTTGCCACATTCTTCACATTTGTGTGGTTTTTCTCCAGTATGAATTCTCTTATGTGTATTAAGGGAAGACCAATATTTAAAAGTTTTGCCACATTCTCCACATTTATAGGGTTTCTCTCCAGTATGCATTCTCTTATGCCGAGTAAGGTCTGAGTTTGAGTTGAAAGCTCTGCCACACTCTATACATTTGTAGGGTCTCTCTCCTGTATGAATTCTTTTGTGTTCAGAAAGGTATGCACTTGTTTTAAAGATGTTGCCACATTCTTCACATTTGTAGGGTTTCTCTCCAGCATGAATTCTCCTATGCCTAGTGAGGTATGAGCATAACTTAAAAGCTTTGCCACATTCTTTACATTTGTAGGGTTTCTCAGTAGTATGAGTTCTTTTATGTTCAGAAAGCTGTGGACAACTGTTAAAGCCTTTGCCACATTCTTCACATTTGTGTGGTTTTTCTCTAGTATGAATTCTCTTATGTACGGTAAAGGCTGAGAACGACTTAAAAGCTTTGCCACATTCTTCACATCTGTAGGGTTTCTCTCCAGTATGAATTCTCTTATGTACAGTAAGGGCTGAGGACAACTTAAAAGCTTTTCCACATTCTCCACATCTGTAGGGTTTCTCTCCAGTATGAATTCTCTTATGTACAGTAAGGGCTGAGCACAACTTAAAAGCTTTGCCACATTCTTCACATTTGTAGGATTTCTCTCTAGTATGAATTCTCTTATGTTTAGTGAGGTATGAGCATAACTTAAAAGCTTTGCCACATTCTTTACATTTGTAGGGTTTCTCTCCAAGGTGAATTCTCTTATGTTTAGTAAGGCGTGAGTACAGGTTAAATACTTTGCCACATTCTTCACATCTGTAGGATTTCTCTCCAGCATGAAATCTCTTACGTGTAGTAAGGTCTGAGCACCAATTAAAGATTTTGCCACATTCTTTAGATCTATAATCTTTCTTTCCATTATGAATTCCCCTATGTTCAGTAATGTGTGAGTGTTGCTTAATTGCTTTGCCCCATTCTTTACACTTAAAAGGTTTCCCTATAGTGTGTCTCACCTTATGTGTATTTGTATTTGACAATTTTCCGACGACTCTCACATATTTTTTACACTGGAAGACTTTGCTATGGGTAGTAGCTGAACATTGGTTAACTCCATTGTAGCATCCTTTCTTCTCCTTACTTTCACCCACACTTTCTGAGTCTTTCGTTAACATTAAATTCTCAAGGCCAGAGCTTCCACATATTCTCAATACCACTTTCTGGAAAGAAACATTTATGCCCTTTTCTGGCAAGTAGTCTTGGGTAGAAGAAGAAGACACATCTGAAAGAAATTTTAAAAATAACAAATTATCCCAGTTATTACTTTAAGGATTAGATAAATATACATCACAAATTTAATAAATAAAATTATACTAAGCACATTAGTAAGATGGGATAATATAATACACAGGCTCCAATTCTTTTACATAAATAAATATAACAACATTACAGACACAAAATTGCCCTTGTGGGAATTCTAACAATGAGGCAAAAGTTCAGCATACCAAGTGAACACATTTCCAAGAGCCACATACAAGGGGAAAAAAAGTTTGTTACATTTACTGACCGTGGCCTCTCCTACTTAATGCAGTCTGGTTTATACAGAAGCAAACTTCCAACTCCCAGCTCCTCTGTCAAAACAGAAAATAGTGGCAACTGTGTCCATTCTTCTGGCTTTTGAAGACCCTTCCAAAGTGTGGTTTCTGTCTCCCATAACACAGAGTGCTCAAAGGAATGGTGCCACAGAGTATGCCATAGGTAAAAGATTGTTACAGCAACAGAAAGACATCATAACTACATACAGAGAATAGGTGTAGCAAATGATGACAGGCTCTTAAGAAGAAACAGGGGAAAATTGCTCTAACTAAAAAATAAACACACAAATCCACAGAAGAAATATCATCAGAAAAGATTTGACGTGTTGTGAATCTCTACTAAGCCAAGTGGGGTCAGAATTTCCCACCACAAAACCAATTCATAAACTTTGGGAAGGTGGCATTTTGTTAATCCTCAAATCTCAACCAAAGATTACAATGTATATAAAACATAAGAGTGATACTCAAAGAAAACAAATAAATATTCAGAAATCAACCATAAAGGAATGGAGATGTAGATATTACCATAAAAAATTAAAAATAAGCACCTAAAGGATGCTTAATGGGTGAAATGGGAACAATACTGACAACTCAAAGCAATCAGGAAAAAGAGAGTATCAACAAAAACAAAAGCACAGAAAGAAACAAATTCTTTAGCTGAAGAATACAAGAAGAAATGAATAATTCTCAAATGTAAGAAAAAAGAAAGAAAAAATAAACATGAAGAGACCCTTTAGACGACAAATTATAAGCAAAGTTTTGAAAGTAACAAGCAAGAGAATCTTGAAAGCTGCAAGAGCAAAGTGTTATGTCATTTATAAGCATGCTCCTATGACATAACTAGTGGATTTATCCAAAGAAACCCTACATGCCAGAAAAGAGTTGGGTGATATATAGTCAAAGTGCTGAGAGAACACAAACTTCAAAGCAGAAATACTATATCCAGCAAAACTGCCTTTCGAATAAAGGAAAAATAAGGATTTATCAAGATAACCACACTCTGAAAAAGTTTATCACCAATAGAGAAGTCTGAGAAGAAATTCCCAAGAAGCTTGTTTCATTGAAAACAAAAAGATGCTGGAAACAACATGAAAACATGAAAATAAATAACTCTCTGGGAATAATATGTAAGTAAACCTAAACAAAATAGACCTTTGGAATAGGACGGAGATCCCAGATATAAAACCATCCTCATATTGTCATCTAATCTTCAACAAAGCAGACAAAAATATACACTGGGTAAAAGAATCTCTATTCAGTAAGTGGTGCTGGCAAAACTAGATATCCACATGTGTCCCGACCCGCGGGGTAGTCAACGCAGACCCTGGAGGAGGGAGTGGGAATTGGGAGAGGCAGGAGACACAAGAAACGGAGACAAGACAGGAGTCTGATCAAGTCTCGTTTATTGGCAGTAGGGCAGAGGCTTAAGTAAGGCAGAAAGAGGAGGTAACAGTAAAGGGGCGGTGCTTTCCAAGGCTCTGGCTTTCCAGCCAAAGGATTTCCATATAAGGAAACCCTCAGGCGGCTTTCAAGGGCTACGTCATAATGGGTAAATGGAAACTTACAAGCTCTTTCGCGGGCTTTTGCAAATGCGCGGGCTTGGTTGGCCATTTTAGTTAAGCAGGCCGATCCACATGGCTCGCGGCCATCTTGGATAAGCAGCTGCCAGGCCTCATGGCTCCGGACACACATGCAGAAGATTGAAACTAGATCCCCACCTCTCACATCTCACAATAATCAACTCACAATATATAACAGACTTAAACCTAATGCGTGAAACCTTAAGAATTCTGGAAGAAAATGTCGGGAAGACTCTTTCAGACATCGGCCTAGGCACAGAATTTACGAAGAAGACCCCCAAAGCAATCACAGCAGCAACAAAAATAAACAAATGGCACCTGATCAAAGTAAAAAGCTTTTTGCACAGCCAAGGAAACTATCATTAGAGCGAATAGACAACCTACAGAATGGGAGAAATTTGCTTTCTACACATCCGATAAAGGGGGGATAACAAGAACCTACACAGAACTTAAGAAAATCAACAAGAAAAAAATCAAACAACCCCATCAATAAAAAGGCAAAGGACATGAACAGAAACTTTTCAAAAGAAGACAGACTAATGGCCAGCAAACATAAAAAAGTGCTCAACATCTCTAATTATTAGGGAAATGCAACTCAAAACTACAATGAGATGTCACCTAACTCCAATGTGAATGGTCCTTATCAAAAAGTCCCAAAACAACAGATGCTAGCATGGATGTGGAGAGATTGGAACATCTTACACTGCTGGTGGGACTGCAAATTAGTACAACCCCTATGGAAAGTAATTTGGAGATACCTCAAAGAGCTAAAAATAGAAATACCATTTGATCCAGTAATCCCACTACTAGGCATCTATCCAAAGGAAAAAAAGATATTCTATAATAAAGGCATCTGCACTCGAAAGTTCATAGCAGCACAATTCACAACTGCAAAGATGTGGAAACCCAAGTGCCCATCAATACATGAGTGGATTAATAAAATGTGGTATACGTATACTATGGAATACTACTCAACTGCAAAAATCAATTGTGATCTAGGACCTCTTATATTATCCTGGATAGAGCTTTAGCCCATCCTTCAAAGTAAGGTATCACAAGGATGGAAAAATATGCACCACATGTACTCACCGTCAAATTGGTACTAACTGACCAACACTAAGTTGTTGACATGGTAGTAATACTCACTGGGTGCCAGCTGGGGTCGGGGCTGGGGGGTAAATTCACAACTAATGGAAACGGAATGCACTGTATGGGGCCGGGGCAAACAGCATTACATGTAACCAAAATGTTCGTACCCCCATAATATCCTGAATAAAAAAAAAAGTTTAAAAAAATAAAAAAGGAACAATGTTAGAGGCATTACTCTTTCTGATTTCAAGACATGTTACATAACGCTGGGTGAGGTGGCCCACACCTGTAATCCTAGCACTCTGGGAGGCCGAGTCAGGAGGATAGCTTGAGGTCAGGAATTCAAGACCAGCCTGAGCAAGAGTAAGACACATCTCTACTAAAAATAGAAAAATTAGCCAGACAACTAAAAATATGTAGAAAAAATCAGCTGGGCATGTTGGTGCATGCCTGTAGTCCCAGCTACTCGGGAGGCTGAGGCAAGAGAATCGCTTCATTCTAGGAGTTTTAGGTTGCTGTGAGCTAGGCTGACACCACGGCACTCCAGCTCAGGTAACATAGCCACTCTAGGCTGGGCAACAGAGTGCGATTCTGTCATAAAATAAAAAATAAAATACAATAAAATATAAAATAAATAAAAAAGACATGGTACAACAGTAGAGTAATCAAAGCAGTTTGGTACTGGCATGTATATATGCAGACAACTAGACCAATGAAACAAAATGTATGAAAGAAAAAAACTCCTCACATATGTCGTCAAATGTAGAGTTATTTGCACATCCATATTTATTGCAGCATTATGCACAAAAACCAATATGTGAAAACAATACAAACTTGCCCCAACAAAATAATGGATAAATACAATTTGGGATATAAAAATAATGGAGTATTATTCAGCTTTTAAAAAGCAGGATATCTTCTAAGATCTACAATAAAGATAAATCTTGAAATTATGATAAATGAAATAAGCCAGGCCTCCAAAAACAGATACTTTCCGAATCCACTTATATAAAAAATATAAAGTAGTTACATTTTTAGAAACAAAAGAAAGATAGAATAATGTTTGTAAAGGATCAGATAATGGGGAAAATAGGTAGTTGTTTCATGTATATTGAGTTTTACTTTTCCAAGATAAAAATGTAGAGATATAATATGCTGCATAACAATCTCAATATAAATAACAAGACTAAACTGTATAATCAAAATATTTAAGAGTGTACATTTCATGTTTCTACAATGAAAAATAATACCAAAGACAGTTTGAAGCTTTTCACAAATTACCTTGAAATTACACAAAGGTCTCACACAAAGATAGTACATAATTCACCAATAAATACATGTTGAAATTAAGAGAATTTTCATGACTATTCAACCAGACAGGATAAAATAACCACTGACCACAAACCAAGAAAAAAAAATGTACTATTCAAAAACAAAGTCTGAGTACTATTTATACAGGCAAACACACAAAAAATTCTATTGAAAATAGATATATGGCTGATTCATATTTGACTTTTGCCCCACAATGTCTCACAGTGTACAGAATTGAATATTATCATACAAAATTATAATACATAGGTAAAAACTAAAAACACAGTGGACTGACGTGAGGTGGCCTACTTTAAAAAATAAAATAGAACTATAAAATTACTAAATAAAAAGAAATTTTAACCCATAAATTTGAATAAACATAAAGCAATGGTTGAAGAAGAATTCTACATAACTGTAATTTTCAAGGATGACTGGGCATCCATGAAGACCAGATTTTGAATCAGTGGCATACAGTCAGGGCAATAATATTTCCCAAAGGCACATTATAATCATTCACAAAATATTTGATAAGAAAATTTTAAGGATTAGGCATTGAAATGATCCTAGAGACATTTTGTTTTTATGTTATTAATACATTGTTGCTCTTCTTACACAAAAGAGAGGCTATAATCCAGCTCTCATAAGCAAAGGCTTACATTTCTAAATACATCAAAATGGACATTGTAAAATATGGTATACAGCTGATATATGAAATAAACAATTAGATTATGTTATCATTCAGATAAAGGCTGATGACAGTGGATGGAAATGCTAATAACTATTTGCATGCAGTAAACTGAAATACACAAACCAATCATTTTTAATAAATGTGGGGTGCATACTAATTATGTAATTCAGCTTTTATAAAACATATACGTTTAAGCACGTTGTTTCAGACCTTCTGAAAGTTCTCTAGTAACACATGCACAATATTAAATGATATAATTTGTCACATTAATAACAAAATAGGGGATGTAAAGAGGTATGGTTTTTGCAAGTAGTTGAAATTAACTCTCACCTACCTGGGTGTTCGGCTACTGTTCCATGTCTCTTCATATTCCAGGGCTCTTTCCTTTGCTCCAGACAGGTGATCAGGTCAGGATTAGAGACATAAAGTCCTGTTATATTAGAAAAAAGTAACATGGCTTTTGCTAGGATTTTCCAGTTGTCAACCTAGTACTGTAGTTGTCAACCTAGTACTGTTCTCAGTAGAGAAGAGAGAACATTACAGAAAATTTTAGAAAATTAATGAAATTTATATGTCCTTATCTCTGTTACCCAGTACTAGTGAATCAATACTTGATGGAAATTGGATTTTAAAGTGTAGATAACAATATTTTGGGCCACTAAATTTCTGAAATTGCCATTAATCTAAAGTGAAAAATACAGATCGGCTCAAGAAAGGGTAAGATTAATGTCAAGATAAAACATTCTGAAGATTTTTTTCTATACAAATAAATCCTGAGTTTTTCTTGGAAACAATCATCTGAAAGTCATTCACATAAACCAGGAACTCCCAGAAAACATTCAACAAAGGAAACTATAATACAAAGTCTTTAGTGTGGAACAGAAATTGTACATTGAAGTTATCCTCACCCAGGGAGACCAGGTTTCTGTAGGTCTCTAACATCACATCCCAATACAAATTCTGCTGAGCAGGGTCCAGGCATGCCCACTCTTCTGGAGAAAATTCTATGATCACATCCCTAAATGTCAACGGCCCCTGAAAGAAAAACACTTCTTTACAAAATGGCCATGAGAAGAGTTCTTAATTTGACTTCCAGTGAAATGAGAGAGGGAAGAATAATGTTTCTTATTCATATGAGTGCCTGGAATTATTCAAAAAGACAATTTCAACAAAGAAATATTGTCTAATATATTTTCTAACTCTGAGAAAAGAGGATGACATAAGATCCGCAAAACCAATGTAGATACTATAATTTTCTGGACAACACAGTATAAAATTCTGGGCACCAACACAAACATTTACATTTTTTAGAGATACATTTACATCAATCAGGATAAGTTGTACCTAAATTTCAGATAGAAAAGTCATGTTGAGGTAAAAGGTACCTCTCAAACTTTAATGTGTATGACAATGAACTGGATATCTTATTAAATGCAGATTTTTATTCAGGAGATTTGGGATGAAGCCTGAAATTCTGAATTTCTAACAAGATCACCACTTATGTCAATTCTTCTGGCACAAGAGGAATATCTTTCAAACATCTAGTAAGTGGCAGAGGTTGGCTTTATTCCTGTTCATCTGACCGGGAAATAAAGATGAGAGCCTTCATTATTAAGCAAGCTATGTGCAAAGGGAATCTACAACAACAACAAAAATGGAGCTTCCAGATTAAACGTGATGGTTTATGCACATCAGTTGGTAAATCTTCACAAAGTACCTACTAATAATTAAGAGAAAATTAATTAACTCTACAGTGGAAAAAAATCTGTCAGAAAGAACCTTAACCAAATGAATAAAATTCACATGGACTGTAGTAAGACAAATTAATATCAGGATCCAGTGCATCAGCGAGAAACAACTTCACTAAAAGAAAACTAAAATGAATGAAAATACTACAGATCGTATCAACATGACCACACAGAGAAAAGTTTAGTCATGACTTGAAAGTGCAGTACACCAATAAGACATTTTTAGTTGAGTGTACATATTCCATCTGTACCAGACATTCAAAATGACATAATTTCCAGGTTCTAGAAACTGATGCTAAACATACAAATACAGAAGGCTTCCAATGTGTTTTTAAGATATAATATTACCTGAAATAAAAACTGAATAAAGTCAGCACAGGACAACTTGAAGTTGACAGCAAGTATCAAATTAGGTACTAAAGTCCTAATAAAATAAGATTAAATTGAACCCAGAATTACATTAAAAAATAATACATTATATATATGTATATAGTATTGAAATGCAAGTATTCCTGAAAATGTAAAATATACTGTTATATTCAGTTAGTTTAAAAGAGGAAAAAACTGTTAATTTTTCAGGATTGTGAAAAAAGCATTGTATAAACAGATATCTATTTAAATCTATACCTGTATCTATATGTGATCTGTTTATTATCTATCCATACATCCATAGGATGTATGAGAAAGAATGCACTTAAAATAAATGAGAGTGTCTGTTAAAAGAAGCATCTGAAAGATATGATAAAAGTTATATTATTATACTGTCCAGAGACTTGTATACCAATTCAGAAAATATAAAATGAAATTATTGCCTCAAATCTTCCAGATGATCGAAGAGAATATATACGTTGAACAATCTGTAGTTAAGATTATTATCTGACAATAAGGGAGACTATGTTCATTTGCATGGAGAATAAAAGCCCTTTTTAAACTAGAAACAAATATAAAAAGTATCATTGAAAAAGGCTGATAAAGTAGATGATCTCAAAAATAAACACCTCTGTGCTATTGTAACTGGATCTATGGACAAATTACAATGTCTATATATGTTTTTTAAAATCCTCTCCCTCTCATGTTTGAGATTCTCAGGCCTGTAACTTTTAACTACTTCGCCTGTTTGACTTGTTTCCCCGAAATGGCAGAATATCTGAAAGACAAAGGAGTTGAGATTCTGGACTCACCAACCCTCACTAATCTGCTCCAATACTTGTAGCACCGCATCAATTTTATTTTATTTTATTTTTTTTTGAGACAGAGTCTCACTCTGTTGCCCTGGCTAGAGTGAGTGCCGTGGCGTTAGCCTAGCTCACAGCAACCTCAAACTCCTGGGCTCAAGCGATCCTCCTGCCTCAGCCTCCCAAGCAGCTGGGACTACAGGCACGCGCCATCATGCCCGGCTAATTTTTTCTATATATTTTTAGTTGTTCAGATAATCTCTTTCTATTTTTTTTAGTAGAGACGGGGTCTCACTCTTGCTCAGGCTGGTCTCGAACTGCTGAGCTCAAACAATCCACCCGCCTTGGCCTCCCAGAGTGCTAGGATTACAGGCCTGAGCCACCGCGCCCAGCTGGCACCGCATCAATTTTAACACAACCTACCCCGATGCACATAGCCTCATTTTAAAAAGCTTTCCCCTTCTGTGAAGTGGAAAGTGTAAACAAATAAATAAATAAAAAAACCTTGCTTTATGACATGCAGAAAAACAAACACAGGAAAATGGTCAGATAAGAAGCTTAGACCTTTGAAAATATGGCCTGAAGATATATGTTGCATTTCCTAAAGCTATCTGGGACCATACTATTCTAGCAACTCCAGGAAACCTTATTATGTGAATTTTGCGTGAGCACTAGGCAACTTTCCATTACTGAATGCTGAAAGTGTTTATTTCCAGATCAGTCATAAAAAACTTTTCACTACATCATCTCTATGACAACCATGACTGACCTTCTGTCACAGCATCAAAAACATCAAAGACAAATCTGCACTTAACTTAGATCATGCTAAGGTCTTATAACCTGCCTGTACCAACATGCCAATTATAACTTATATCCGTTTTTCTTAAGCTACGTTTTACTAATTTCTAACTCTTCCACTGTAGTTCATGGACCCCACAAAGCTCATAAAATATAGTGTAAAACAAAGTGAAGAATAAAGAAACAACTCACCAGAGCTTTATCCATGTTTTGCTGCTTTAGGAAACACACAGAAGATTCTGGAAGCATCCCTCAGAGAGAAGGCAAACAGAGTGAAGTCATGAGAGAATTGGCATGGCATGGTCCTAGATTCTCCCAATAAAAATGCTCTACACATTAGCTGCAAGAGACCAACAACATAAAAGCCTCCATGTACAAGAATAGTCTCTTATGCAAGAAGGGACAACAAAGATGTACCCACAAGTACATTTATTAAGATTAGACATACATTTTTGAGTTAATGAAAATATATATTAGCAACTGATTTAGCAACAATTAATGTTCTTGAAAGAAATTATTTAATAATTTATACCAAAGAATTAAACATTATGTTTTCACTAAAATTAATGTTATAGAAATACACTTGGGCCATATGAAGTATTTTCCTACTAATAGGGGGATGCCATACAGGACTTCCTATGTTTCCACTATCATACCTCTTGCTTTTACATACCTACATTTCAAAGAAAGTATACAAGTCACAATCCAACATTTTTCACTCACGATTATATAGAAAAACAGTATGTAATGTGCCTTTCTTCTTGTACACTGTTCCAGTAATGGCTCCAAATGATCCAAGTATCCACACCTTCACCGTAGTCCCCTCTGACAATAACCTAGGCTTTGCCATGTGACTTGCTTGTGCCAACAGGACATCAGTGAAGGTGGTGCAAGCATGGGTTGAAAAGTACTTGCCCACTGATGTTTGCCTTCTTGGACACAGTCATATTGTGAAGAAGCCTGGGGCTAATACCTTGAAGACAAAGGACCTATGCATGTTTCAGGAGGAACCCCAAAACATCTAAGTGCAGCAATCCTAAACCGACCAGCCTCAGTCAAAACACCAGGTGACTAAAGCCTCACCTGTGATCCCAAACACCACCCACACAGGAATTTCCCAACTGAGGTCGGCCCAAATGCTGATTCATAAAAATACCATCAATAAACGGGTGCTTTCTGTGAACCTATAAATCTTTGTTGATTCATTAGAGAGGACGGAAAATCGATACATCTCAGCCCTGGAATTCAATATTTTCAAAACACATGGCAATGGGAGAAACAGTCTTCAATTACGTGCCAATAATTAAAAGTTCAAAACCATAGGTAGAAATTTTGAGAAGCACAGTAACTGCCAAGTGTACAGGTTTCAGCATGGTTAAAGTCATGTGAATGAAACAATTATCTTAAGGTTAAATAACTATGTTAAAGTTTTTTTACAACATAACAAGATTTCGTTGTCACTTATATGCAGACATTTTTCTGTGTTTTATTTACATTTTTATTGGTTTGCACAAGTGTGCTTCAGTCTAATTTTCCCATTTTAAACAACGTTAAATAAGCTCTTCATATTTTCCAGCAGAATTTATGAGTTTTAGGAAAAGATTACTGACATTAAGTGGAAAACATTACTGTGATTAACCCGCTGAGGTCACATAATTTCCAGAAAACGTTGGGGATAAAAAGGGATACGTATGTTTACAATGAGATGAGTCAAATCAATGGTGGTTCTATTATAAACAGGTTTCACTGTCACAAAAATGTGAGTCATAAACAAACACGTGTTTGGAGTTAATTGCGGCAAAATGAGTGACTCTAGCCAAGATGTCAGGATGTTTGATACCTACATATGATCTGAGTCTGGGGATGTCTCTTATCACTTCGTATCTAAACAGTTCAACTTTTTTGTAAGCCAGAAGTAGCTTGGCAAGCCCTTCATGAACTATCAGAAAGACCAAGATAGAAGGAGCATCAGAGTATCCCTAGACGTCAAACTGGGTAGCGGGTTTGAGACAGCCCACATTCTGGAAACATTCCATGAGGGGAGATTAAAGGAAGCGGAGTGTCCTCAGAGAGTCACATGGACAGATTCTCTCCTACATGACAGGGTGCCCACCACCGCAGGCCAGTCACCGCCGAGAAGCGACACTTCCTAGGCCCTTGCCTTTCCTTCTCAGCCAAACTCACCTCTCCCTTCTGAACCTTGGTCCAAACCTCCCAACGGCACTGGTCGTTCACAGCTTCCTGAGGAGGCAGCATCTCCCAAACTAGTTCAGTAGGATCGTTAATTACTTCGGCCATAAAGTTAAATTTTTCCTTTTCGGGGACTCGTTTGCGTCTTCTCTGAGGCGTTAGAGAGCACGTCAGGTCGAAGAGCTGTTTGTTTACTTTTATTTTTTTTTTTGAGACAGAGTCTCACTCTGTCGCCCGGGCTAGACTGCTGTGGCGTCAGCCCAGCTCACAGCAACCTCAAACTCCTGGGCTCAAGCGATCCTCCTGCCTCAGCCTCCCGAGTAGCTGGGACTACAGGCGTGCGCCATCATACCCGGCTCATTTTTTCTATTTTTAGTAGAGGCGGGGTCTCGCTCTTGCTCAGCCTGGTCTGGAACTCCTGAGCTCAAACCATCCTCCCGCCTCAGCCTCCCAGAGTGCTGGGATTACAGGCATGAGCCACCGACCGGCCAGGTCGGAGAGCTTTTGCGTCCTGGGAGCCCACCCCGCCTTCTGGCAGCGCCGTCTTCCGACAGAACTGTGGACCGCACAGCCCGAGTCGCCCCTCCCCAGCCCCGGCCCAGGTCCGCGGCTCGCACCTGCACGCCAGGCCTCCCGGCCTAACATCCACCCGCGTTTCTGCTCCCACCACATGGGGACACCCGTCCTGCCTCTTAGGGTCCCCCTAGGACCACGGACTCCTCTTTGACCCTCACACCAACCTGCAGGGACGCAGAATCCAACCCCAGACCTAGTGAGCGACATTAAAACACAAGGTCCGGAACTTTCCATAATGGCGGCAGCAGGCGGAGCTGACCATGCGCAGAAGGAACGCGGTAAGTTCTTCCCGTGGCACTGTGCTGGTGACGTCATCAGAGCCTTAGACTGCATTTCCCAGGAGCCCCACTGGTTTTCCGTTAGGAGCCAACAAGAGGAAGTTTTCCAGTTAAAATGGCTTTTATCAAAAAGGCAGTAATGAATGCAGGTGAGGATGTTGAGCAAGGGGAGCCCTAGTACATTCTTGATGGGAATGTAAATTAGTGCAACCACTATGGAAGACAGTACGGAGGTTCCTCAAAAAACTGAAACTAGGACCACCATATTACTCAGAAACCCTACTCCTGGGTATATATCCAATCCAGGGAAATTCAGTATATCAAAAAATATATCTGTACTCCCCTGTTTATTGTGGCACTATTCACAATAGCCAAGATTTGGAATCAACCTAAGTGTCCATCAACAGATGAATGGGTAAAGAAACTGTGATACATATCCACAATGTAATATTATGTAACCACAAAAAAGAATGACATCCTGCCATTTGCAAAAATATGGATGGAACTGAAGAACATTATGTTAAATAAAATAAGCCAAGACAGAAAACAAAATCTCACATGTTCTCACTCATATGTGGACTCAAAGAGTAGAATGATTACCAACCTATGAAGGGTAGTGGGGAGGGGGAACAAAGTGGGGATGGTTAATGGGTACAAAGCTATAGCTAGATAATTTGATAGAATGAATGATACTTGTTAGAATAACAAAGTTACTATAATGAATAAGTTAAGTTATACTTTAAAATAACTAAAAGAGTGGAATTGCAATGTTCCTAACACAAAGGAATGATAAATACCTGACATGGTGGGTATCCCAATTACCATGATTTGATTAATTCACATTGTACGCTGATATCAAAACATCACATGTATCCTATAAAGTTATGGAATTATTATGCACCCATAATAATTTTTTAAAAAATTAAAACTTCAGTGGGTCAGAGAGGAGAACACTAAATCCACTTTCATTGTCCTCATGACTTCAGGGAAATATGAATGACAAACCCAGTGGAAATGATGTTGAGCTATTTTTCCCATTTCCCCATTCCTAATAGTGCTGTTTTAATAGATATCATAAAGTTAATTCAACAAGGAATTTTTGAAACCCTATTGCAGAATAAAATTTTAAAAAATAAAATACTCACCTGACTCCTTCCTGCTTTCAGAATGGTGGTCACAGTGTGACAGCTTGGGCAGTCAGTGTGTGTGTATGGGAGGTAGGAGAACCCTGAGCTAGATTCTTGCAATTCTGTGACCTCACCTCCCCACAGAACTGCAATTATTATTTTATGTATAGTGGAAATGACAGTGGATGCTAGCGGGACTGCGACTATTTTTTAAAAACTCTATCTTTGGTATGAATTCCCCAAATAGTTGCCAGTTCCTAATCAGAAGCGCCAATGATTCCACTGAAGTGTTTGGGAGAGGCTTTTCCTTTTCCATGATCCTTGGAGGCAGACAGAGTCTCATGTGGAAGAGAACAGGAAATGCTGAGGTCTGTCAATGCAGGGACTGACAATGAAACATGTGTTATACACTGTACTCTGCTTCCCTGAGAAGGTCCTTTACCCAAAATTTAATTAACACTTTGTTAATTCCTGGATTCCTGAGATGCCCCTTTATTTAAGTTATAGGAAGAAAAATGAGATGACAGAAAGAAACTAAGAAGGATGCTTCAATGGGCTAGATGTAGATGATCGAACATCATAAATTACTATCATAAATTTTTACTAAAATCATTAAAGAATAATTAGCACAAATGAATGTACATTGATTTGGAAACCAACATGATGTGGAAACCTTCTAGGAAAATATTGTTTACCAATATGGGCACCTTTTTAGATTCTAAGACTAAACAGAATAAAAAATATAGGAGCAGGAAGGTTTACAAAAGAGGCTCTTGCAAATAAAGTTCCAGGATCAAGTGGTTTAACAGGGGATCTCTACAGTCATTTTAAATGTCATATAAATCAATGTTTCTAAATCAATTCAAGAACATTACAATGGAAAAAATACTTCCAAATAAATTATGAAAATCAAATGGAGCATTGGTACTCAAAATCTCCAAATGTTGTACAAAAGAGACTATTAAGGAAAAATCTCATCTTTGTCTATACATAGAAATATGTAACATAAAATACTAGTAAACAAATCCTAATTGATTATTAAAAATAATAAATAATGACAAAATTTAGTTTATGTCTGATACTTAAGAGTAATGTAATATTATGAAATCCACTGATAACATTCATCATTTTCATGGAGATAAATAGAACATCAAATGATTGTGTTCATAGATGCAAAAATGTCCATTTAGCAGAATTTAACATAAAATACTATTTATTTAAACCCATGAAAAGGAGGAATTAATAGATCTTTTCAAAATTGAGAAAAGGGTTTTTTTTATACTCGTGGAAAATACAAGGGAGATTACCACTATTTTCAGAAACAATAATAAAAAGTACAATATTGTCTATCGTATTCATTAAATTTGCAATGAGCTTTATCCAAGGCAATTGAGGGCAGAAGAGGACATGGAAACAAATATTTAAGACTCCATTTGCACATGATGTGATTATATATCTGGAAACATAAAGGAATTGATAGAAAAAAACCTAATACAAAAATACCTCTGCAGACTAATATAATATAATATTGATGCCCAAGACAGTAGCCTTTCTAAGTATAATTCACAATCATTCATGAATACCATGTGAGAAGCATACAAGAAAGTATAATATATTTTAAAAAGTAAAACAAAATTACCTAGAAACAAATCTAATTAAAAATGTGCAGTCTATATGAGCTAATAAAGAATTCCTGAAATATATAAAGACTTAAATGAAAAACTGCATGTTATTCTTGAATAGACAAATTAAATAATATAAAGAAGTCATTTATCTTTAAGCTAACCTCAACATTGTATTTGATCTCATAATAGATTTTGTCAGTTTTTTTTCAAGCTAGCAATGATTTTGCAAACTGCACATGGAAGAACAAACATAAAAGAATTGCCAAAATCCCTGAGAAAGAAAAACAGTGAGGTTGTCTGGCCCTATGATAAATTAAAATACATTAAAATATTTTATAATTAAAGCAGCATGTGTCGATATAAAAATAGGCAAACAGACCAGGATAGTAGAAAATTCAGAAACCTACCAAAGTGTATGAGAAGCTATACAATAAAAACTACAGAGAAGTAAACTTTATTAATACTTGGTATTTGGGAACTGGATATTTCTTTAAGAAAAAAAAAAGATGAAAATGGGTTCATTTTTCACATGGTATGGTAAGGTAAATGACAAACGAGAAATGTACCTGGCAAAAAATGGAAAATATACAAATAGTAGAAGAAAACATTGACAAATATTTTTATGAGCTGTGATAAATCTGGCATATGACTCAAACCAAGAAATGTTAATAAAAGATTGATAAAGTACACAATATAAAACCAGAATATTGTGCATGGAAGGAATACCATATGTTAAGTAAAAAGGAAAATGCCAAATGGGACATCTATTTGCAACTTATAAACAGGCAAAGGGAAGCACATGTGCGTTTGTTCTAGAAAACAAGAAAGGTTTTCAAACATGGTTTCACGGCACGAGGACAAAGGAAGCAATGTGAAGGGTCCTTCACTGACCTAACATGGCACAATTTGGGCTCAAAAAATAGACTTATATGGCAGTGTATGAAATTCTATAAAAAAACATAAGTAATTTTAGGAAAATATTATTTATATGTTTTGTTTATTTGATGGGGCCACAACATCATTATTATTACAATTGATAAAACAAAGAATCAATCTTTTTTTCTTTCTTTCCTGGTAGACTAGTTTTTTCTCTTTTTTGAGAGTGTCTCACTCTGTTGCTGGGGCTAGAGTGCAGTGGCTGATCCTCCTGCCTCAGCTTCCCTAGTAGCTGGGACTGTAATTACACACCACCACACCTGGCTAATTTTTAAATTTGTTTTAGAGACAGGATCTTGCTATGTTGCTCAGTTTGGTCTGGCACTCCTGGCCTCAAGCAATCCTCCTGCCTCAGCTTCCCAAAATGTTAGCATTACAGGTGTGAGGCACCATGCCTGGTCCTAATAGGCTAGTTTTTAATGTAATAAAGAGCTCTTGAGCAATTCTTAATACAATAATGAGAACTCATACATGCACAGGATATAACAGAATTAGAAAACTGCTCTTTGGCAACCCTCAGTAAAATAAGTGAAATTATAAAAATACTAATCAAAAAATGCTAAACAATCACATGAAAAGAACAGGCAGACATTCCTTGGACCCAATGATGAACCTTAATATAAATAAAAGTCGAAAAACCAGATATGTATCCAAATGTGCTTTCTGAACCCAGATGTGCTAAGAGCTTAAAATACAGTGACTTTGAAAGGTTTAGTACCAAAATAAAATAATACTTCATTAATATTATAGTATTATATTGGTCACATATACAACAATAATATTTTGGATGTATTGGGTTTAATAAATTATTACAACCAATTGCATTTGTTTGTCTTTTCTTTCACGTTGTTACTAGAAAGTTTAAAATAACATACATCGGTCTATATTTCTAATAGGCATTGCTCCCTGAGAGGATTGCCTCTATTTTAAAACTCAGACTGCCTGTTCAAAAGACCAGAGGCCACTGTGAACTAATAAAAATTTTAAGGCTCACCCCGCAACTGGCTGACTGAATGGACCCCTTCGTGGCCAAAGGAATATCTTTTTTTTTTTTTTTTTTTGAGACAGAGTCTCACTCTGTTGCCCTGGCTAGAGTGAGTGCC